CCCAGTCCCTTCCCACCCACTGAGTATTCTTAATTCTAGGAGTATTATAACAGGTCCTGGATGCCCACCTGCCCCTGCCCTCAGACACACAATTAGCAGACATGTACCCAAGAGGGAATGCTGGACAGTCCAAATAGTTGCTTGCACATGAGCCACAGTGGCCACACCCCTGTGTCCCCTTATATGATGCCACATCTTCTGGGCCTTGATTCCCATAGAGCTTGCAGTGGCCTGGATTTGCAGTAGCTGGTAGGGGCAGATCAGACGTGGAATGTTTCTCCTGCAACCCCATGGTCAAGCCATGATACCCTATGACTTCCCCCATGTTCCCCTCCATGGCCCCCATGGCTCTGTACCAGTTGCTGACACCGCTCCAAAGTTGTGACTGCTAGGTCCAGGCTATAAGAGGAGTTACAAGAGGCAACCAGAGCCCATTGGGTGGTGGGCAGGGTCCCGGGACAAGAGGGAACACCACAGGGCATAGGAACACAGGCCAGCCCAGGTCCCCAACCCGTGCATTCCTGCCAACAAGATAGGGGATCCAGTGAGGAATGCATGTCCCAGATCTCCCATCGCCCTACACCCAGTTTACCCCTAGGAGAGAGTCCTTGTCTTGGCAAAACTTCCCACAGTGATCCATATCTCCACCCACCACTCCAGCTTGACTAGGAGTCTCAGAAGCTGTGGGTGTAGACTCTGGACCCTGTCAACCAGCCCCTCCAATTTCAGCTGCCACACAGCTATCCCTTTGCCGGCCCAACCCCACAGCAGCTGCTTGTCCACCGCCGAGCCTCTCGGGCCTGTCCCAGGATGCTGTCTGGTCCTCCAGGTGTAGCCATAAACTGGGGTCCACTTATGACCTCTTGGGAAAGCAGGGCAGCTGAATAGGCCTGGGCCTCAGCATCTGCAGGGAATGGGAAGGTTGGAAAGAGGAGCGGCTCAGGGCTCCAGTGGCTGAGGCAGGGTCCATGGGCCTCCTGGGTCCCCCAGATATGTAAGCAACGGCACCCTTTTCCTTCCTCTGCCCCAGTCTAGCCCCTCCCCTCACCTGCTGCCCACCCACCTGCCCACCTGGCCTCACCTTGGGCTCCTGTGGCCTTCTTGGGCCAGGCCAAGCCCTTGATACAGTCTAGCTCCTGGGATAATTCTTCAAGACATTCACACTGCCCATTAACTCATGGCTCTCTTTCTACAACAACCTGTTTGGTGGCCCACAATGTCTGGGCCAATGCAATTGTTTTCCTCCTATGGGAAGATGGAGTATCAACAGCCTGGCCAGAGATGCCCTCTCCTCCCCAATTCCTCACTCAAGAAAACTCCCCTCACTTCCAAACCCAGGACTCAGAGATAGGCCAACCTGTGACCCTCTGAGTCCTTGACCGGGGAAGC